GAGTCTGGAGTGTCAGTTGGTAGGGTGTTGAAAGACATTTACAATGACTTCCTTTCGAGCTTTCCGTAAGCTTAAAAAACACAACCATGTTAACCAGGTTAGAGCTGCATTAGTGTTTAATTCCGCACTGGAAAGTAAAAGAAAAATATGAAAATGTTTACTGCATACATAACCGTCACTGTAAAATCTTCAAAATGGAAGAAATAATTGTAATTAATAAGAAAAGAAACAACAACCACAATAATAATTGGCCAGTATTATCTCTGGAATGCTTTCAACATGTTTAACATGAACCTTCTGACATGAACCTCTCCTGCGTCAGAACCCCATGACCCTCTTCCATCTCAAAGCCACGCCATCACGGTGCTCCTGCACAGTGCTGAAAGCTTTCTGACCGCAGTGCCTCAGGCACCAGGCAGTCAAGGGGTATGATGGGAGTAACACGGTGTCTGAAAGGTGCAAAGAGAGACTCTCACGACTGCTGCTCCCTACTGCTGCACACTGTTGTCCAGAGATGGAGCTGTTAATCGCAAGAGCTATGTGTCTTGTGTTAATATAAAAATATTCAATAATAAATGATAATGTGTGTTAATCATCTTTTGTTTTCTTACCACTAGTTTCATTCATTCTGGCTTGTTACGATTTATTGAACCAGACAGGCTGCTCTGTAAAAATGTAAAAAACCAAACATGTGGTGCTTGTATTGGACATTTTGGCAGTGTAGATTTTTTGGCTTGTGTGGTCCTGATCTCATTTTATTCGCTGTGGGCTCGCGGAAGGTGAATCATGTTACATTGTTGCATCTCTCTGGTGTGAGGCACCAACGAAAAGCCTGAAGCTGCACTGGGTCCTGTATCTCACGGTAAAACCATCAGCAGCTGGTTGGATTGCACAGAAAGTAATATGGTATAGTAAAATGGTTATCTTACCAAATAATTGCATTGGCCATTCTGGAGGATTTGTCATGCCAGACTGGTGATAAAGACAGCTGTGAAGTTAAAAATGCCTTTAACGAGTCTCATGAAGTATATTCCTATTTTGCTTCTCTGGTCAGGTACAAGCCGTGCTGGTTTAGTACATTATAATGTGGAATGGCTGAACTTCCCAGCCTCCCGTGTGAATGTGTTTTCACTGCAAGACCACAGAGGGAACAGAGGGTCATTTCCTACAGACTTCCTCCCTCAGCCAATAAAAAAAAAATCTAAAAGCATCACCCAAAAAATAGTTGCTGACAGTTAAGTGCAGGGAAGATAAATTCTCCCCACAGAACTTGAGGAAGCTGTCTGTACAGTATATTAATGGTGGGGTTTGTGGTGGTCTGGGAGTGGAAGCAAAGTTGGAGTAACGTTTTTGGGAAAGGAAAGTCGATCAGTCAATGTGCTTACTTCACGCAAATTTCAATCCCAAACCCTAGCTTAAATTTTTGCTCATCCATCCATCCTTTTCATTTTGCTTTTTTGGGTAGGTTTTCAAATCCAGTGAAGGTCTTGCCCGGTAGGGGCTGCTGTTAGGTGAGTCATTCATGATTCAGGTAATTAAGTGTTTAAATGGAAGTGTTGGGAAAGGAAGTGCTTGAAAAAAAATGACCAAAACATTTTTGTGGATATACAGTACTCCAGTGCCACAGTCTTAAAAGTGTAATGAAGCCAACTGTTAGAAGTTATAATTCAACTAGTTCTTTTCTGACTATTAAGACACTTTTGGAGATGCAGCCTTTGAGCAGGATATTTAAAATTAAATCAACCTTTTTTTTTCGTTTATAGAACTGTGACGTTGTGTGCTTTGATTTCATTATCGTCAAGAGCTTTTTAAGTGCTGTGAGGATCCTGTCAGAAGTCTCCTCACCTTTTCATTTCTGCCCCCCCCCACCAAAAAAAAAAACTTGCGAAGCGGTCCCAGCGCCTCTGGGTGCCGGGAGGGCTGTGATGTCAGAGAGCACCTGCGGACGGGCCAGGCCCGAAAAAAAACCCGGGTTTCTCCTCTGGGACAGGTGGCGTTAGGGCGTCGTAGTCACACTCCCTGCTGCCCTGCCAAACTGCTCCAGAACAAGCGATGTGCTGTGGGCTCAGCTCAAGAGGACGCTGGGCATGTGCAGTGCTTGTTAGAGCAGACAATAAAGGATAATATTCAGAACGTGAAAGGAAAGCTATTCATTAAAAAAAAATTAAAAAAATAAAATGCAAACGCCTATAACAATATGTCAAAACACCAAAGTATTTGTTCAAATGTAGTATTTCTCTTAATATGTACCCTTGGCGCTGTGTTATCTACTTCTTCCATTAGTGATTTCAAGCAGTTCGCTTTTGGGCAACCATACACTGTGAGAATTGTCTTGAGACATAAGTATTACAAATAGCTGCCGAGTACGAGCTCTTGCAAAACCCATGTCCAACAGCAGGGCCTGAAGCAACACATCTTATTTGAAGCCCCATCTTAAGTAGAGAATTTTTTATACAAAATGTTTTCATATTGCACAAACTGCCAAATTCAAAACAGGTTGCCAATAGGTCAGCTCCTGTATAAGGACAATTATTACTTCATGCATTTTGCCTACAACCTCCAAAGCTCTAAGTATTTACTGCAGGTGAGCAGTATTCAATGGGAGATGCATTTCCACAGTAAAACGTCTTGCTAGTGGGAGTCACAGGCGCTACGTGATATCTTTTTCAACATTTTTGTCTTTTGTATGCAAGCGTACAAAAGGTGACTGATATGTCTGTTTGCTTGCAGAGATTCCCAGGAGCAGATTTTTTTTTCCAAGATCCAAAAAGTGCTCTATTGGTAAATCGTGCCAGTGCAGCATATGGGAATGCTTCATACATGAGGCTGTGCCTGTGCACTTGTAACTCGGCTTGGCCCATCTTCTTTTCTGCCATGCCTGACCTCAGAAGCTAAGCAAGGCTGAACCCAGTCAGTACTGGGATGAGGGTGCTAAGACGAGACCAGGTCCTGGCAGCTTGGTACTTAAAGATCTCATGGCACCGTTCTTAAGAGTAGGGGTGTTACACTGGTGTCATAGCTAAATCGCTCTCCTGCACTATCCTGTCTCCTTAAAGTTCCCCCTTAATACAACTGATGACGTAATTTCTCATTTCTCAACCTGATCTGCTGTGTAGTGAAGCTGCGGGTATAGAACGCCTCTTGGACATGAAGCAATACATGATTATTATTATTATTATTATTATTATTATTATTATTATTATTATTATTAATCCTAGTGTCCAGTGTGCTATCATTTGGGATTAACCAGCACTTGGATTAAGTTTCACAATAGTTGTCTTGTACTTGAAAGATTGATTTAGTCACTTTGTAACTTTTCATAATTTTTTAGTTATTTTAGGGTGGAGAGGGTCTTTGGTGCCTACTGAATGAAAGAAAGATAGAATGAGTCTATCTGTGCTAATCAGTGACTGTACACTAACTTCTGTACTTCACATGCTTACACCAAAGTGGTTTTCATGGTATTTTTTAAAGAACACTTCTGTGCTGTTTTTAGCAACTTCCTTTTTTTCTGTAACTCTGCTCTTACGCAAAGTCAGAACTGGTCTTCAAGCACAGTGCGGCTTTGTGCTTTCTCTTGAGCAAGCCTCAGAACCACAAATCTCAAATAAGGTTGGAAAAGAAACTGCTCTTCTAGAATGAGGCTCTTTCAACAACCTCAGGGATCTTTCTAAAACTGAAGGGTGTGCAGAGGCATTGTCTGCTTCTGATGTGATAATTCGCTAATATTATAGGGTCTAAATCAGCATTGCATGCTTCCTTATTCTAGAACTGAAATCTTGCAGTTGAAACTCTTTTGCCTTGCAGGTGTAAGGTGCTTATGAGCCTCCCTGCTCCTTAGGCTTGAAAATAAACCTAAATGTAGCCACGCTGCCTGGTTTAACAGGGCTTGATCCAGATCTTCTGACTTCTTCTTTTTCACAGCCTTAGTCCCAGACTGTCCTGGGGTCAGCTGCTTTGGTTGCTCTTCTCCAGATCTTCTGACGTGCAATAACTTATAGTTTTGCAGGAGGCAGTTGTAGGATGTGGCTTGAAACACTATTATACTATAATACTGCTAACAGAAAATACTAACGACCAGTTTCTCTACTCAATTTGGCATCTCTTTGGCCATCGTTACAAAACTCTGCTCCTGCCTCAGACTGATGCTCAGCATCCACTACTGAATATATTTTGAAAGGTGGTTACGTGAAAGGTGGTTAAGATTAGAACACAGAATTTGAGGCCCATCTTAAAATACTGTACTGTACATTTCCATTTTGCAGTGATGCCAATTGAGAAAGATCCATGAATCTTAACATAGCAACTCTTCAGAGGGCTTGGGGGGAGCAGATGTTTCCCCAGCTGTGTGTCTCCATCCACGTTGAGATGTAAAGCTCTGCTCCTCCAGTACACTACCGTTCAGGAACAGCAATAAGTGTGATCTATCCCCCAAAGCAAGGCCATTATGTAATGAGCTGTCAAGCAAGGGAGCTAGTTATAGTTTCTGACAAGATCCCTCAGTCAAAGCTTGACTCACAGATCTCTTTTTTTACTTTTAATGCGTCATGAGGAGTAACGAGCCTGTTTTTACCTCTTAATCCTATCCGGCAGGTGCTTTGATGATCATTTATGAACTTTATGAACAGGGGGGCTCCTATCGCATCACTTAGAAACGGGTGAAAACAATCAGCACCCGGAAGAGCAGTTTAGTCTTGGAGATGAGGTGGGAAGGCCTTTTTTTAAAACGATCCCTTTGTGGCAAATGGCTGCATGTGCGTTACGACGGTTTTACTCTACGGTTCATTCTACAGCAAAGCAAATACAGTTACAGAGCCTTGAACCTCTGGGGACATGCGGCGCGAAACCGTGTAAAATTTGGACTGTATGATCAGACATCTGCATCCTGCCTCTGACTGGTATGTCACACTTATAGCACATCAAGACGCACCTGCCCCATCACAGACTTCGGCTGCACCAACCCGCCCTCCCATCCCCCCATCCTTCTGCTCCTCCAAAAAAAAATCTTCTAACACACATCATCAAGAAAAACAACATTGTTTTTAGCCCTTCTTATCTCTCCGCTCCCAAATATCCTGTTTCTTCGAGTTGCGGTCACCAGGACCAATAGAAACCTCTTCCTGCTATTGGCTGACTTCATTTCCCAACGTTAGCACAATCTCATCCGTTCCAAACACCGCCAGCAAACCTCAACACTTGCCTGCTCTCCACAAAAAAAAAAAGTTGGGACCGCTTTATTTACACCAGGACTCGATCAATAGTCCTGATCGAGAATGGCCAGTACCATAAAGGTAAGCGACAAATGTGTTTTTTTTTTGTGTGACGTTTTTAGGGTTTCTTTTGAAGCTGTTTTCGCCGTGCAAAGAGTTTCGCTTCTTTTCATGCGCTCTAGAGAAAGGAGATAATGTGGGAATGGGTAACACCCTTTCTGCCACAATGGTACTACAAGATTTCCTTTTCGCTGCCTTGTAAATTTCCTTTTTCCTACCCAAACTGTCTGCAAGGTTCAAAATTTCTTCAGAGGCACCACGAAAAAGGCCATAGCATTTGTAAGCTCTCCTGGACATCAGAAAATGAGTGGTGGCTGCAAAAATAGAAATCTCAATTTCTAGCTGTAAAAGGATACTCTTGGTTTGTATCTTAAAGTGTTTATTTTTTCCTAAAAATACTTCAGATTTTCAGATTTGCAAAAAAAAAATGCTTTGCATATGTTTTATATTTTAATAATAAATAGTTAAAACATTCATTGTTCACTGGTGAAAATAATTTGTTACCATGCTCTGGGATACTGTAGCTAATCTGTGTTTCTGTTTTATTGTATATGCTGTGTACAGACCACTGAAGTAACAATGTTTCTTACAATGTTTCTTTTCAAATTTGTGATCATTTCATGTGGATTGGAAATTTGTGCCAGAAATCTGGATTTTTTCAATGCCACAGTCCAATGATCTCCTGCTGAATTAATGTTAATTTACTAATCCTAATCATTAAAATGACTTCAATCATTTTTTTAAAAGTATTTGTTATAGTAAAAAATGCTGTAACATTCTCGGTTCCAAATCAAACCCACAGAACACTGTGCTTTTAGAAGCAACAGTGTGCATTTCATGCCAAATGATTTTTGTAACAATTTTAATGCTATATGAGATTAGCGCTGGCTGTTTTTTATTTTTTGTTTGTAAAGCTACATCCATTGCGGCTATTTTAAATAGTTATTTTCTGTGAGCAGTTATATACAAAATATTTTTAAAGCATACCTCAGATTCTTTTTTCTGAATTCACTTGATGCCCTTTTTTTAGACTGTCATAATTTAATGATGTTTGGAAGTGTTTGCAGGGATTCTGTAGCAATGAAGTAGACTGAATCCCTTTTGAAAGCGTCCTGAAAATAGATTTAATGTTGAAGTAATGCAATGTCTGTTGAAAATGTATTAAAATAAAACCTCATATCATTCGTATTAATGTAATCAAATCATACCTGATGATTCGATTCCACAAATTCAGAGTTAAAGCAAAGACAGTGGTCGGAATATTACAAAACAGAAGAAAATGTGTTTCTTTTGCTGCACTGTCAAATCAGTTTAATCAGAGAAGCACCAACGAGTCTCCTTCTGTCATAGTATTAAATCAACATTTGGCACAAAAGGCTGGATAATGTTATGGAGCAATGGAATATTTTGTTGGTACCATATTAAAACTGGAATGAGCAAAGCAGTGAGGTTGTTAGCTGTAGTGTGCACATTGGTATTTAAAGGACACGCCTCTGAAAGAAAAATAAATCTGTAAGCACATTGTTGTGGCCTGATATGCAAGTTGTTTACACTGGAAAATAAAAACTGCATTTTGGCAGACAGTTCAGCACGTTCCCTGTATGTGAGTACGTTCAATAAACTCTGCAAAGATCTGTTATTTGAATGACTTTTGTGATCGGACAAAGAAACGAGTTGTCGTGGATCCTGTGCAATTGTTTGAACAAAATATGTATTCAAAACAAGGGGTGTATATTAGATTGTCAGACTGTGTGCGGGGGAATGTCCAATGAATTTTATAGTTATTGCATCTTTGTTGCTGAGCATGCTATGAGTGTAAAAATGTTTAGTAATTTAGCGTTACCATTGGGCCTTGTGCAATATCTGCCAATGCAATATGTTCCCAAGGAAGAGTGCAGACTACTCTGTCAATGTAGTCTGTAGATTAGTGCTGCACACTACAGATGTCTCATTTTTATACAGTAGCTGTTTGCCAAAGTAGGGCAGGTAAACCACTAATGTGAATTTTTGTATTTCTTCTTTCATTATACAAGACGTCTTTGGAAAAGGTCCATGAAACATGTTTTGGCTAAGTTTTCCTTGAAGTCTTTGACGTTTTCAAGGAGCAACTTGATTAGCCACCCGTCTCTAAGAATCCAGTACTGTGATCTGTGTTGAGTTCAATGCATCTGTTCCCACAGTACAAAGATGTTTGCAGTAGGAGTTTAAACACTACATGAACCATATAGCAAAGGACCCAGAGTTTGTGTGGAAACAATAATTACAAAGTGACGCTTCTCACTGGCTTTGAATGTGAACAGTATTGTAAGGAAATCAGCGGGTTCAAGAAAAATGGTTTGAAAAGGAGTTCGCTCATTTGTGTTCTGTGAAGATGCTGGCTGTTACCCATAGAGGACGTGGAGGCTCAGCAAGAAACAGCTGTGTGAATGAATGGAGACAGAGGCTGCATTATTTTTATCTCAGGGGTAAACATTTACTGGGCATGATATTCAGGTGTTTTGTGTGCTTGTGTTTGGTGTGTTGTGTTTCCATTTTTCCTCTACCGGGTCTAGACCTCTAGCATCATATCTAAGGCTGGATTTTCTTCAACCTGCTGTAAGACCTTTACAGCCATTTCCGCAGGTATGTACTGTACAGCAAATCTGTCTGAAGGCCTCAAGACACAAACATAACAGTGGAACAGTGCTATGGAAGCATTTGTTGAAATGGCCAAGTTTAATTAAATGAGTTAAGATGGTTTGAGTCACGTATGGGAAAACTGTGACAGAACTGCACTAATAAGCGAATACACAGACTTTCAGCTTCAAGTTTCATAACGGGCACAGAAACCTTACTTGGCCAGAGCACTCCTGAGTACTGTATGCTCCATGATAGGCTCCAGATTACTGCAGGGATTACTGTACCAGGAATAAATGGTTTTCTGATAATTAATGGATATAACAGAATGAAGGTTAAGTACAGTATTACAAAACCAAGGTAATACTCAAGCTTACCAGTTAGAATGTGGTGTGTACATTTTTTCCATTTGTTTTTGCTGGGAGAGGAATGAATCAGTTTTTATAGAGTATTTTATGTGTTCCTTCCTGTTCTTGTCAAGTAAAAAAAGAAAGATTCTGTGGTGCTCATTCATTGACACATAGTAATCCATCGGCACACAGTAATTAAGACATTTTTGATATGTGGTGGCTTTTTTAGGTCTTAATTAAGTATATGTGTGTGTTTCTTAAAAAGGGGTCATTTTCAGAATTAAGGTATTTTTGTGCGTATATCTATCTCTGTAGGTAAGACTTTGCTGACCTAATCTACCACTAAATATATACCAAGTTCAATTTCTATTACTGGTTTCCTTTCCGGGTTTTTTAATGCTCAGTTGAGCACTAACTTTCTGTCCTGTGTCACTGCTTTTCTGAAAATGAGTTGTGGCAGTGACTGAAATTAAATTATTGTCCAACATCTTAACTGATTTTAGCAATGATATCTACTACTATTGGTTGGCAGGACCTCTAAAGATGTAACTTTGAAATTTCTATATCCTTCCGAAGGTTTTGCAGTTTTTTATGCTTATTTTTCTGTTACTGTTCCCCTGAAAACTGCCACAGTGTGCTTGAAGCAGACACAGCATCTCTGTCATTAGAGTTAGTAGGATGTCTGTCTACACATTTGGGCTGAATACTAACATACGGGGACAGCAAAGGACCCTGCTCTCTCACGTTTCTGAGTATTCTTGAACTATTCCTCAGGGCTTGAGCCTGTCTTCTCAAACCATGGTCAGTTATTTACTCCACCTTTGTCAGTGGCGGAAACTGCAATTTATTCATCTTTATTTTTGTACATACTTCAAAACCCATAAGTATTGGCTGAACAGTGTTTACCTGTGTGACAAAACCCAAAGGCGGACAGAAGCCTAGGTGACAGTATTGACTCAGGCCTATAAACCCTTCAAGGGCCATCTTTGTAGTAGCCCATTTCACTGTTTCCTCGCCGTAGCAACCCTTTTGTCCGGTACATTGAATGGGCCTCCATAAATTGAAATGAAGATTTTCAAAATAGGAAAGTGCTGTTAGCTGCAGCAAGGAAATGGGGAAAAGGAAGTCTAGAATCTAAGAGATTTGTCTTAAAAAGTGTCCAGTGAATGATGGCTAGTCTTTCTTCAGATTTAGTTCTTCACTGCTCGTAGCCAGCTTTCACTGAGCTCCCAGTCCCTGACCCATTTGCCACAGGACACAGCGTGAGAGGAAGTAGCTTCTTGAAAACTACAGCCATTTCCCTTTCCAAAAGGTTTCATTTTAAATCACATCTGCTCCAAGCCGTTCCTGATTGAGGGCTGTTTCTGAAATAATAAAACAATCAAACAAAGAGCAGCGAGTGGGTGTTTGACTAGTTTGTCTCAGAAAGAGCCACACACAGAAGGTATCAACCACCCAGGAAAACATTTCGGGTTTGTGGGGAGTCTGAAGAAAGTCCGTACAACGTGAAACCTTGATGAATCTGATTATGAATTTAAAAATTGATGTCCCACTATGAACCTATGAGAAAGCAATCGTTCTGAGGACTTCTTTAGGGCTAGTTGGGCTAATCCTATTATTTATTGAGGATTTTAGGTTTGAAGGGGGTCACACAGAAAAGATATACATGCTTCAGAAGTGTATTTTGCATTGATTAACATTGAGTTTTAGAGCTTGCTCCTTAATGATAGGGCGTTCTCCGGGATTCTGTGTTGTTCATTAGAAAGGATGAAGCATCTGGTGGCTCACAGCAGTAGCTATAATCAAAATACGATAGACAAGCACTTCCTTTTTCCATGTCCTGCACTGATATCTAGCCCTATCAGGAACTTTCAATACAGGAAATGCTTTAAGAAGCAGTTTCCTGTCTGCAGTCACACAACTAAGAGAATCCTGTTGGTACATGAATGAATGGTGTCTCCCATTGAGTTGGGTGGCTGTAAATTCATAAAATCCTCCATTTTTGAGGTGAAGAATGTATTTTAAATATACAGTATAATAATAGTGAGTTGAAAAGTGTGAATACTTTACTTTATGACCTGCTTTGTCACAAAATGTAATGTAATGAGGGAAAGCATGTAAAAGTATGAAAAGGCATATCATTTAAAACTTTTAAATTTCAGTTAAACAGCTGCCTGTTGCCTGAATAATTACTATGTTTAGAGTTAGTCAGTTAGTTATTTAAAATAATTCAATGTGACATTCAGAAAGACATCTGTCTTAGATCTCTGTGCTTTAGGATATTGGGTGTATAACAGTGAAGAATAGACAACTTTGCATTGTAACATCTCCACTTTATTTTCTAAATGTGTATTCTGATACGAGAAAACATCACAGCTTTAAACAACGAATATTATGAAACTGAAATCCATCTGTATCTTTTAGCATTCATCAACAGGAATGAAGGTAAACAGACTGATTCAGTAATATCAACGTATAGAACATAAAAATGTTTTTTTCCCCAATACACAGTTTTATACAGGGGTAGAGTCAAGGTTAGGAGCTGTACTGTGGAATGTGATCAAGGAATGTGATCAAATTTAAAATAATACTTCCTGTAAAATTGATAAAAATGAACCATGGCTTAGATAAGCATTTGTTCATGTGGAAAGTGGAACTTTTATGTATTTTATGTATCCAACTTCATATCATACTATTCTCACATCTGTTTTCCTACTTAAAGTTTATTCATTTATCAGAATGTTAGGTGGGGTAGATGGCGTACCTACTGCTGTTACACTGCAAACATGTGAGGTGTAAAGTAGCTCAAGGAAACGGAGGGTTTGGATTTGAACCAGGGTGTCAGGAAGTGTAACCCCCCCCAAAACAAACACGCACACACATACTGCTCCAGAGAACAGCCGAAATCTGTGCTGCCTGCTCTTTGGTTGGTTGAGAGGCGGATAGCCTGTTGATCTTGAGCTATCTTGAGGAAACAGAGTTCATCAGCCTCTATCTTCAGAGTATGTTGTCTTTATTAATTGAAAGGCTAAACAACTCGCAGTGTACTTGCCTGGTGACCAAGTCAGGGTTGTTAAAAATGACCAATCTTGCAAAACCCTGGTTAGTGTCCTTAAATGATGGCTGTGGAGAACTGGATTCGCTAAAACTGCTTTGTTTGTTGGAGTGCTAGTGCAATGAAATTAACAACTATTCTCCTGTGTAGTAAAACAATGGACTATAGCAGAAAGCTTTGAAGGGTGTGTTTTAGAAGTACAAAGTTGTTTTGTTTTTTTTGGCCTCATCCTAGGGTTCGAAATCTATAGGGATCCTTCACTGCTGCCTTAGTACTTCATTTAAAACGTGCTGTACAAAGGTTAAGTTGGTGCTTTGTTATAATAAGTTTGACAGTGTATTTCATTATGTGTTTTATTACGATACTGTTCCCCACTGAGTTTCGTCGGAAGTTAAGTACGTTAGATTATACATCTTCTATACTTTTCAAAGTTTTTTTAAAGTTATTCTCAGAATCAAGAATGTATATGTATGTGGTAGCAGTCAGCAGCTTTACTGGAGAGCGTGGGACCAAGTAAAAGAACTTTGATCTGGAACTGGTATTCAGTTCTCTTCTGTGGCAGAATTTTACTGTACGATGAAAACAGAGGAAGGTACCTGCTCACTCGAGCAGCACCAGTGCACATTGCTCCTGGGTGGATGTAGGGTTTGTTTTGCTTTACTTCCAGAGGAAGAGAACCATCTTGTGCTGGCTTTGAAAGTCATGCGCAGTGGTCATCAGGTGAAGGTTAATTGCCCAGCCGGCCCAATAATGTGGTTTGCAGCTGAGATATCAGGGAGGAACAGTGGCTACAAGATTAATCTGGTTTCCGACACAGCTTCCCTTTCCTCCAACTGGTTCCAGTCCAGCCTCTTGACCTGTCATCAACCGTTACCAGGGAGGGCGGCTCTCTCGTTCACACAGAGGAGCTTAAACACTTTCACAGCACTCCAGAGAGCAGGAGGTAGATTGCACCTCTCATATCTCTGCAGAGCAGCCTCGACACTGCAGCTTCAGCACGGATTTTACAAACAATGGAAGCAATTAAAAACCAAATGAGCAAGCCTTTAGTCTTAATTAGGACCCTGAGAAGCAAGGAGACCTTTACTTCATGTACCGTCATGCCTTGGAAATAAAAACATGACTAAAACGAGAAAAAAAAGTAAATGACTTAGGTAGTGATATGCACTTTATGGAACAAAACAAGGTTTATACACTTCCACTAGCACAAACCTGCCTATCATCCATTACAGTTTGTTCCTGTGGGCCAAGAAAACCTAATGACTTTGTCCCAATCAAGAAGAAAGACATTGCTATTTTCCAGGTTAACTAGAAAAAAACACTAAGTATTGTTTGTAATAAGCAGTACAACCAACACGTCTGTAAAAAAGCCTTAAAATATAGTTACTAAACACAAAGTTAAGCCATTGCATATACTTTCCAGCAGCATGGTTAAGTGCTACAATAGGTTTGAAGTCAATGTTGAAGCCGACAAGTCCAGCATTGTGTGTAACTCTTAGATAGAGTTGAAGCTCATGGCTAAATAAGATGGGAGTTCTGGCCAATGAAAATCCACATCCAAACCAGTGCTGTAATTAAAAACATGTTTTATTTGATGGCAGTGGCTGGTTGTTTCACTACACAGCCATGTGTATGCTGTGTAAATATATTGGCACTAGTGGGTAAAAGTTAGCCTGTCATCTGTTTTGAAAAGAATGCCTGGTTTCCCCCAATTATTCCTGTCATTTGATGTAATAATGTTTTTTCAAAAGGCCCAACTTTCTAAACAAGGCGCAGATAAAAGAGAAAAGACTCTGTAATTATATAAATAACAATAATAACATCTACGACAGATAAAACCATCAGGCAGCTTGGCCTTTCTGTTCTGGGTAGAATTAGAGGGTTTCCTGAGGAACATGCAGCTCAGGAAATGCATGTGGAACTCAAACATGACTGTGATTTTCTGCTCTGAATAAACGAAAATACGAAAGGGGATTAAGGCCTTTATCACCATGTGGTATGAGCAAGGATATCCTAAAACCAGATAATGTGATATCTGCACGATTGTGGTTGGTCCTGTGGTATGCTTCTGCCAGGCTCGAGCCTCAGTTATCTTACGGGAACTCTCCTGATCCTCTTTGTCTCCAGCAGGGAAGATCAATGGGTCCAGCTGTACAGTGAATCGCAGCAGCTAGGTAGAGTGATCGATAGCAAAGTAGGACAGGATTGATTTACATACGGCAGGCAGGCTTCTCTTTAGACTTCATCATCTGCCACGTGTCATCAAAACTATTAAAATCTGCAGTCTGCATTTCAAGGCAACTTTCTTAGGCACACCTTTGTGAGCGTCTGCCACTGTGGGTTTCCTTTGCAGATTTGCAGACTGACCAACGGTTTGCCATGCCTATATTCCACACCAAACTGCTTTTACGATACCTCTAGATGCACTGCCTTGTTTCGCTGTGCTTTGCTATCTTTTTTTTTTTTACCGTGGTAAACTACGGTAAATCTAGAATTAAGTAAAGGTTTATTTCATGCTGCAAAGAGAAGAAAAGAAACACAGCGTTTCGGCAGTGAAGCCTTCTTCAGGTGTGAAGGCTTCTTCTCTTCTCTCTCCAGCTTGGAATGAACCTTTGCTCGTTCTGTGGTTGTCCTCCTGTTCCACACCGGGGTGCGGTGCTTTGTGTTTTAGAGGGTATCCATATTGCCATAACTAGCAGGTGCACAAATCAACATGGAAGACGAACAAAAAATAATGATTGGTTTTGTTACCTTCATTTGTGGCTTGAATAACGATTCATGTGACACATGCATAACAAGGGGTTCTGGTTCCCAGGTGGTGGGTTTGATTGTTTTCTTACACTTGTACCACTTGCTACAATGTTTATTTGATGAATTTACCTGCTGGGCTTCTATAGGTTTATATTGATAATTGTTCCACTAATTACCATCAATCAGCAATTAATGGGATGCTGTATAACAGCATAAAAAGTAACAATTCTTGTCCTGTTCTGCAATTCCTATGCTTGAGTGCGTCAGATTTAGGTAGAATCAGACAGGTATAAAATTACATTGCGTGGCAATTATATGATACAATGGGAAGTTCCTCCAATAAGTGCATGAAGGAAGTGAACCTCTACTGGATGGAAAAACAATACACTAAGAATTATTTTAGGGCCTATGGTCCAATGTATTTCACAAACCTGAACTCTGAGTTAGACAGCAGATAATATTGACAGGCAGATAAATATAGTTGTTTGGGATTTTTAGCATTTAACAATGTACTGTAGTTCATCTGGATTTTACAGTATGAAAGTCAATCCTGCCAAGTTCTTGTTTGCTGGAATGTATGTTATATTGTATGGTTGTGATGCAAACAGCTTCCCAGATGAAACACAGCGCATTACAGGCATGCTCCCAACCCAGAAACCACACAGTGCCTATTCCAACAGCTAAGGTTACCCTTCCATTCCGGGATAATTCGACGTTACAGGCTAACGTAGGGGGTCATGTCACTGTAGCCTGCCCATGTACCACATAGAGTTTGAGTTAGACTGAATATCTGAAGGGTTTTTGAGGAAACTGTATGGTAACTGTAAGAAAACAGCCCTTAGGCTTTTGTTTTTAAGTTGTGAAGTTTAGTTTAAAACATTGTGCACTTTAAAACAATATGCGGCTTATTTCTTATATTTAACCTATGGAGAACTTGTTAGTTGCAGACATGGTGTGAATACGTGCCGCAGTAGAGGCTGCTCAATGATGTCTTAACAGCTGGAATGTCTGTGGTTCTCCCCCTCAGGAAGCACTGTCAGTGGTGAGTGAAGACCAGTCGCTGTTCGAGTGTGCCTACGGAACGCCACATCTTCCCAAGACGGAGATGACCGCGTCCTCCTCCAGTGAGTACGGGCAGACGGCAAAGATGAGCCCCCGCGTCCCCCAGCAGGACTGGCTGTCCCAGCCTGCTCGCGTCACGATCAAGATGGAATGCAACACCAGCCAGGTCAATGGCTCCAGGTGTGTGTGTGTGTCTCTCTCTCTCTCTCTCTCTCTCTCTCTCTCTCTCTCTCGGTCTCCTGGCCGTCTCTGTGTGCTCGTCTAGGTCCTCAATCACTCTCCTGGCCATCTCTGTGTACTCGTCTAGGTCCTCTGTCACTCTCCTGGCCATCTCTGTGTGCTCGTCTAGGTCCTCTCTCAGTCTCATGGCCGTCTCTGTGCGCTGGTCTAGGTCCTCTCTCTGTCTCATGGCCGTCTCTGTGCGCTGGTCTAGGTCCTCTCTCAGTCTCATGGCCATCTCTGTGTGCTGGTCTAGGTCCTCTCTCAGTCTCATGGCCGTCTCTGTGCGCTGGTCTAGGTCCTCTCTCTGTCTCATGGCCATCTCTATGTGCTGGTCT